ATTACAGGTGTGAGTCACTGCACCTGGCCACCAAGTATATTTTTAAATGAGGTTTTTGAAATAGGTCACGGAATACTCTCATATCTAGGCAGAGAATTTTTAGTGATAATTGGTTATTGATGAGTTCAAAAAACCACTTCTGTCTGATTCTCATGTTCCAAATAGCTGGTCCAGTTGTGCAAATTAGCCTGAAACTACATATGCAGAGCCTAAAGTGGGGTAAGGGTTGGAGGCTCCTCAAAGGCAGGGTGTGGGTCCCCTTTATAGTTGTATCTCCAAGCCCAAGTGCAGCTTTTGGTCATTGGAGGTGTTCAATGAAGTTTGCTGCACAACTTAATGAAAGAGTAAACAAATTAAATTTCTGGTTCTCCGAGCTTTTCTTTTTATTTTTTTTGAGATGGAGTCTTGCTCTGTCACCCAGGCTAGAGTGCAGTGGCATGATCTCGGCTCACTGCAACCTCCGCCTCCCCAGTTCAAGTGATTCTCCTGCCTCAGCCTCACAAATAGCTGGGACTACAAGTGCCTGCCACCGCACCCAGCTAATCATTGTATTTTTAGTAGAGACGGGGTTTCACCATCTTGGCCAGGCTGGTCTTGAACTGCTGACCTCGTGATCCACCCGCCTCAGACTCCCAAAGTGCTGGGATTACAGGCATGAGCCACCGCGCCTGGCCTCTCCAAGCTTTTCATGGGAATAGAAGAGTATCTTAACACACAAGCAAGCATTTGTGTTTTCTTTTTTCTTTTTTTTCTTTTGAGATGAGGTCTTGCTCTGTCATCCAGGCTAGGATATAGTGGCATAATCACGGTTCACTGCAGCCTCAACCTCCCAGGCTCAAGTGATCTTCTCACCTCAGCCTCTCAAGCAGTTGGGACCACAGGCATGTGCCACCACAGCTGGCAAACTCTTTTTGTATTTTTTATAGAGATGAGGGTCTCACTATGTTGCCCAGGCTAGTCTTGAATTCCTACACTCAAGTGATCCATCCACCTTGGCTTCTCAAAGTGCTGGGATTACAGACATTTGTGTTTTATGAAGTCGTGTCTCGCAAACTTGATGGTCTAGTGGCTACTTTGGTGAGTCCAAAAAATCAACCAAACAAAAAAACAGAAAACAAAAAACCCTTTTAAACTTTTCTATCCTTTTCTAATAGTCACTGCATAGCATCTTCCCACGTGTAAAGGTGTATCCTTTGAACTTTAGCAGGTGACATGGGCATGAGTCTCTGTACCTCATGAATTCCTCAGAATTCTATGTCATTCTGAAATGTTGACCTATTTCTCTTGCTTACTGCTGAGGCCAGTAAACTAGCTGTCTTAGCGCCTCACCTCTTGTGGAATATCTCTGGCAAAGCCCGTTTCCAAGTGTCTTGCATTAGTGGAGATGTGTGTTGTATGGTGTCCTCATCAAGAAAAAACACACGTTTGCTTGCTGAAATTTTAGACAATTTCCTTCTAACAAAAGCCCTTGCCTGCCTATCTTTAGAATCCCAGCCTGGGGTGGGCACAGTGGCTCACATCTGTAATCCTAGTGCTTTGGGAGGCTGAGGCAGGATGATCACTTGAGGCCGGAAGTTCGAGACCAGCCTGGACAATATAGTGAGACCCTGTCTCTACAAAAAATGTTTAAAATAAATTAGCCGGCATGGTGGCACGTGCCTGTAGTTCCAGCTGCTCTGGAGGCTGAGGCGGAAGGATCATTTGAACCCAGGAGCTCAAGGTTACAGTGAGCTATGATCGTGCCACTGCACTGCACTCCAGCCTGTGCAACAGAGACCCTGTCTGTAAAGTTAGTAAATACATAATTAAAAAATTAGAATCCCAGCCTGACTTGTGACTAAATTCGTTCACTAAGTGGTGAGAGATGCTAACATTAAGTGCTGGTATATATGCTGCTTCATAGATGGCCCTTCTGACAACCATATGTTGTGAAACTGTTTGATGCATGTGGCCCACCAGTAGGAAAAGGCATTGTAGTCAGCACTGTCAAGAGATCAGGCAGAAGTGTAACATATGTATATTTTAAAGAAGGAGCAACAGTTGGGAATGGACAAAAGACACAGCCAGGGCACCCTCAGAAGCCTGTAATTATACTAGTAACCAAACCTTCCCATAGGAGAGCTCATTTTCAGAGAGGTGAAACTGAATCTGAAGACACGTTTCTGAGACATGAATACTGAGATTGCTTTACCTAGGCATCCGCAATAAAACAGCTTATGTTGATCACATCTTTCCCAGAGACATCAGAAAAGAACATGACTCACCTCATTGGTGTAAAAAGGACACTCTGCTTCCCTTCCTAAAACCTTCCATGGTATTGTTCCGCTTTTGGTTCTGAATTATAGAAAGATGAATATTTTTGTCCCTGAGCCAGGAAGGCTGTGTGCCACGTGTCTTTTACACAGCAGCTACATTTCACAAAAGAGTGTTTTTTACCTGATTCTTCCTGTGGCATTTTAGAAATTTGCTCTGGACTTTCTAACATTCATTTCTTGTGTCCCCAAGGCACCATCACGAGTCAGTGGGAGGAAAAACATTAACTTCACTGAAGCCGGGAGAAAGGTCGAATGGCATGTCCAGAATCACACAGTGACTCAGAATACCTGCCTGGGCAGCTTCTTCATCTGTTAGAAGGTTCACTTTTCAAACAGCAAGAGATATTTATTCATTTTGGAAACCTCTTCTGCTGTGTTTCTAAATGGTCAGCCTCTAGATTAGGGGAGGAAATCACCCAGTTTTCACTAGCTACCACAAGCCAACACAGTGAACATAAAAGCTTGTAGAAAGTTTATTCCATCAGGATAGATCTATAGTTGGTTATCATCATGCTTGAGAAGCGTTTTCGGAAGTGAGCTCAAGCTTTGGAAATTGATTTCATAGAGCAGGTCTGTGTCCTCATGACCACCCCACCTGCACCCCAACAGTGTCCCTGCAAGACGAATGCCCCGGAGGAGCAAGACCAACACCATTGCCCACCTGACATTTAAAAATGTTCTCATATTTGGGTGAAAGCAGACTTCAAATATGTGGGTTACCACTTTTTCAGTCTTTTCTTAGATGCTTGCATTGTAGAAAAATGTTAGGTAGAGAATTAAGGCAATTTAACAATCACTTGCCACACTCCAGAAGTTTAGGATATCACCTTTAGGCCAGCTCATGTTTTTAATCAACTCGTGATAACTATTGGTTCTAAATGAAAAGTTTCCCTTTTTATTGTTTAGCTGTGGTTGAAATTTGCATTTTTCTCTGAATCAATAAAATCATCTTAGAAGTTGGTTGGCATCTTCTCAGATTTCCCTGCTCCTGTTGGGGCACAAAAATTCTCTTTGGTTCTACTTTACCCCTTGCATGTTAAGCAATCCTAGTTCCCTTACCTTACCTGATCCTTTCCCCTCTCCCTCCAGCTGATGGCTCCTCTCTGATCCTGCTGGGAGGTTCCTGACTACATTCTCCCGGGTAGTTCAGAAATTTACCCTCACCAGTAGCCCTCACTCTCCAAAACAAAAACCAGACAACTCTTTGTTTGGTACTTTATTAAAAATGCTAAAAATAAAAGAAAAGAAAAGAAAAAAAGAAGCACAAAATGACTCATACACATTCCCCCAGACTAACAGGAGGAGTGACTCACCTTCCCTCCTCAGCTTGTATCACTCATGTCTTATGGATTAGGACATGGAATCATGTGTAGGTTTCTCTGCCACTTTCTAGAGCCAGTTAAATTCTAAGATCCCCAGAAGTTTAGTAGTCATAAACGATTATTAAATACTTGGGCATCAAATAGGGTAATGAAATGAAAATATGTCTTCCATGAAGACACCGGCTATGACAATGACCAGAGAAGAAAATCCCTGGAATCTTAACATGGTGATTTCTCATTGCTCACCAAGATGTGTGGGTTTCCCTTCACTGATGATACTCACACGAGCTACTCCTACTGCACATGACAAAAAGAACTCAAGAAGGCAAACTTTCTTTACAAGTTGAAGGTAAAAGAAGCTAGATTGATAATAGTTTCTATAGATTGATTTATCTTTTTGACAAGTTTAAAACATATACTTAAAATATAATTTAGAAAATGCTTAATCTGCTGACTCCAGAGCCTGAAGTGCAGGGTGGGGTGGGGGTGGACAGCTGCCTACTACACCAGCAGAGCAAGACTGCAGACGTGCGGCTCTCCCTCCCACACCCTTCTCTTCAGACACCCAAGGGGTCCCATGCACCCCTGGAATCACACAACTAGTTTCTACAGATTTGAGATATGAGAAATTATAGACACTGGCTTCAGTTATTCAAAAGCAAGAGCTTGGGTTTTTTGATCCTTTAATTAAAGTTCTTGTTCCAAAAAAATGTGTTCAAACACAACCTTTAACAGCTCAATTTCTAAAAATTATTTCATAAAAGGAGGAGAGTGAACAATCCTCTATGTATATGTTCTACAGAACAAATCTTATCACCAATTACTAAAGCAGGGAAGTGCAGCTTGTCAAAAAGGCCTTACTGGAGAGGCAGTGGGGGATGGAGAATATGAAAATGTCATTAAGGATGAGAGCCTAGACACGATAAAAGATGCAGCACTTCAGAGCAACCCAGCCAAAATGAGAGGTGGCAAAGCTGCTTTTTTGTCTGTGAAATTTGCATTTGTTTCATTTCCTTTACCAGTGCCATCTGAGTCCCTCCAAGCCACCTCACTTTCTGTTGTCTCCATTTCAGCCTAAAGACACCCCAATTATGGTGTGCATTCCAGGTATTTCAGTCAGTTTTTTTGGGATGGGGTGGGGGGACAGAGTTTTGCTCTTGTTGCCCAGGCTGGAGTGCAATGGCGCAATCTGGGCTCACTGCAGCCTCTGCCTCCAGGGTTCAAATGATTCTCCTGCCTCAGCCTCCTGAGTAGCTGGGATTACAGGAGCCTGCCACCACACCCGACTAATTTTATTTATTTATTTATTTATTTTATTTTTAGTAGAGATGGGGTTTCACCACCTTGGCCAGGCTGGTCTCGAACTCCTGACCTCAGGTGATCCACCCACCTCAGCTTCCCAAAGTGATGGGATTACAGGTGTGAGCCAGGGAACCTGGCTCGCAGGTATTTCAATCTAAACGTCAGTTCAACAGGAAACATCAATTAAAACAAAAATGGATTTCCCACGACCAATACGAATTCCTGTGGCCACTCTCATCCCATTTCCTATCTACATCCACCAAAAAAAAAAAAAAAAAAAAGGCAAGGAATAGAGCATACAATCTCTTTTCTTTTATGTTCTCTAAGTAAACCCTGGGTTCTGGTAGGACCCTGTGTCAACATCCTGCTGTCTGAACTCTTATCCTGTTAGGGTAGCCAGATTTTATGCTTTTAAAACACCAACTAGTCCAATGTATAGTTCCGTCTATTAATGGCCACTTTTTTTTTTTTTTTAGAACATCTTAAATTTTTAATCCTTTCTTTACAGGTTACCTAGACCACTTTTAATTAAGAAAACTGTAGAAAGTCAGTAACTGCTGCAAGCGAACGCCAAGCGGTGGCACGTCGATTTCCACAGAGTCCTTCTTTGCGAGGTGTCTGAATGTACTACAGGGGGTCGGTCTCTGCTCACACTTGCTGGAATCAATCGTGGCAGATTTTAGTCCACAGGTCGCTTTTCCCCATATTTCTTTGTAAACTCTTCAGCATTCTTACAGAATTTTTTACGGTCTTTAGAGTATTCTTCAGCTAGGTCAGCCCGAAGCGGGTGCTCGGGCTGTGGGTCATTCACCAGTGCTATGAGGGACTGGATTACTTGGTCGGTTTTGGTTGCTGGCTTCCAGTTTTCAGCACTAATTACTGGCAGACAGACCTGCCCCTTTTCGTCGATGTTCGGGTGATAGATCTTTGTTTTAAATGTAATCCTGGGTGGTTTGAATGGGTACTCTGCTGGAAAGTTGATTTCGATTCTGAAGGCCCCCTTATTATACGGAGGGTTGTCAGGAACAATAAGCCCTTGCCAAGTCAATAAATTAGCTTCATCAACCTGGATGTTACGGAAGTTTTCCATTCCACATTTGCGGATTTCTTCAAGCTCCTTCATCAGCCTCCTGCTGGCCGCCATCTTGGATTTGGTGCTGCTCCTTTCCCAGAATGCATCGTGGTAACGGCCACTTTCAATGGTTGCATATGTATACGCAAATAACGTTCTGATGTGGCAGTTTGAACTTACGCTGAGCAAAGCAACTTGCCCACTGGTTGATTAGAGTGATCATCCACAATCCTACACATTATAATTCTTTTTTTTTTTTTTTCTAGAGCCAGAGTCTCGCTCTGTTGCCGGGGCTGGATTGCAGTGGCGCCATCTCGGCTCACTGCAACCTCCGCCTCCTGGGTTCAAGCCATTCTCTTGCCTGGGCCTCCCAAGTGGCTGGGATTACAGGCACGTGCCACCATGCCCAGCTAACTTTTTTTTGTATTTTTAGCAGAGGCGAGGTTTCACCATGTTGGCCTTGCTAGTCTCGAACTCCTGACCTCAAGTGATCCGCCTGCGTTGGTCTCCCAAAGTGCTCAGATTACAGACGTGAGCCACCGCACCCGGCCTTACACATTATAATTCTACCTGCATATTCACCTGCTGCCTGACTGAAGACTGATACTATATCCAGATCAGATTGCTCATCTTGCATTTCACAGCACAAAGTGAGATCCTTGGTGTTCGAATTTTTTTTTCTGAGGAATTTCTATTAATCCAGTTCATGTTCTCAACAGGAAGTAATTCAGACATGGGAAATGATAAAATGTATCAACTGAGAGCCAAAGAAGATAATGAATAGAGGTCAAATATACAAATATACTCATGCAAAGGGATAGAAATAATATATTTTGGGGCATTTTCACAAAAAGTTATCACTTTAGAGTACGAATGTAAATTATACTTGTTTACCTGAATTTTCAGATATAACACTTTGTAGAATATTTAATATATTGAAACCTGTCATTTTAATTATAAAATTGGACTTGAATTTCTGTAGAACAAGTATTATACCCAGAACGACACGAAAACTTCAGTAAGAAGGCAGCAAAACTTATTTTAAAATCACATATTTAAAGGTAAGATTATCTTTTACAATAAATTATTAATGGCATTGCTCAAAATAAGTTACGGAATATGAATGCAAAGTAGTCAGAGTTATTTTTATATTTGCCATAAGAGCTAAGGAGCTTAAAAAGAAAAGTAGTATTAGAACAACAAAAAATGGGACAGCAGTCACTTGGCTTCAATAAGCCTTCTCTGCAATATTCTGTAAGAAAAGAATATACAAGTTGCATCTTTAAAAGTTACCTTGTTGTGGAAGCTTCTGAATTTTGGAAAGGAATGGTTGATTTTGATCAAAGCCTGGAAGAAATACAGACATTTTGAATCAAAATGTAACAGTATATGCAGAGAGCTCTCTAGCTACAGATAATAAAATCACCACCTAAGCACAGGCTGTGTAGACCAGGACTAGGAAAGAAGTCCATCTGGCAGGAAAATAAGTTAGGATTCAGAGAGCAAATAAGATTGCAGCAGATGTCAGGGTACAGAAAATGATTGAATAAGTAAGAATTCAAAATAGTATGTTTATATGACCTGTCTTCCCCAACTAAAAGCTCCATATGGGCAGGGATTGTAATTTTGTCCATTGCTGTATCCCCAGCTTCTGCGCCAGTGTCTGGCTTATAGAAGGTGCTCCATACATTCCCCCTCCCGACCCCTCACTTTTGTGTAAGCCCTGACTCGCATCCATACTTTTTTTTTTTTTTGAGGAGTTCTAAATGTGTCTCCCAAGCTAGAGTTCAATGGCGTGATCTCAGCTCACTGCAACCTCCGCCTCCCAGGTTCAAGTGATTCTCCTGCCTCAGCCTCCCGAGTAGCTGGGATTACAGGCGCCCACCACCACGCCTGGCTAATTTTTGTATTTTTAGTAGATATGGGGTTTCACCATGTTGGCCACACTATTCTCAAACTCGTGACCTCAGGTGACCCACCAGCCTTGGCTTCCCAAAGTGCTGGGATTACAGGCGTGAGCCACAGTGGCCCTTTCCTTTCCTTTCTTTTCTTTTCTTTTCTTTTCTTTCTTTCCTTCTTTCCTTCCTTCCTTCCTTCCCTTTCCTTTTTTTTTTTTTTTTGACAGAGTTTCGTTCTTATCACCCAGGCTGGAGTGCAATGGCGCAATCTTGGCTCACTGCAACATCCGCCTCCCAGGTTCAAGCGATTCTCCTGCTTTGGCCTCTGGAGTAGCTGGGATTCCAGGCACGCCCGGCTAATTTTTGTTATTTTTAGCAGAGACGGGTTTCACCATGTTGGCCAGGCTGGTCTCAAACTCCTGACCTCAGGTGATCTGCCCGCCTTGGCCTCCCAAAGTGCTGGGATTACAGGCGTGAAAACCCTGCCCGGCCCATGAATATTTGATAAGTGAATAAACATAAGCTGAAGTTTCAGAAGACAGATTTGTCCAAGGAAATTAAGTCCCACAAGTATGTGAGGAACACCTAAACAGTACTATGTTAAGTGTCTGCATGTAATGCAAAAGTAATTGTTATCCAAGACTCAGTAATATGGCATGAGAATGCATGGTGCTGGGCGGGGAGGAGGGACTGTCTTTGGGAAGAAGGCATTAGAGATGGTATTGAATGGTGAGTGGTAGGAAAGGGAGGGACTGGAGCCCAATGCCAGGCCCTAGGCTTTGTATTCCATTCCCAATCTCCCTGAGAACAGGAACTACTTCAAGTGCCTGCCTCACTATGTTTCTAGTAGGTGCTCAATAAATATGCATGAACTGGTAAGTAGACAATTGGGAGCCAAGCAGTGCATCCAATGGAGCTGCAGGATCAGCATGCTGGCCAGGACCAGCCAGGGAATCAGCCAGGGCCTATTTCTTTGTTCTCTGACTCATCTAATTGAACAACTGTGGCCAATCCAGGATGGGCATTGTCAGAGTGTGGTCTGAGAACTCCTCCCCCAGGATTAAACGTTAAAATGTTAACCCTCAGGCCCCATTGAGACTTCTTGAATCAAAATCCTGAGGGAGAGAACAGACACTGGAATGTAAAGCAGGTATCCAAGAATTGGGCACTGTGGCTCATGCCTGTAATCCTAGCACTTTGGGAGGCTGAGGTAGGAGGATTGCTTGAGGCCAGGAGTTCAAGACCAGCCTGGGCAACATAGTGAGACCTGGTATCTACAAATAAAAAATTAAAAATTAGGTGGGCATGGTAGCATACACCTGTAATCCTAGCTACTCGGGAGGCGGGACCGGGAAGGAAGATCACTGAGCCCAGGAGGTTGACGCTGCAGTGAGCTATGATTGACTGCACTCCAGAAACTGAAATCCCAAGAGCAAGAGAAACAACTATTTTGGGTGGTCACTGTGGGCCAGGTACTGTTCAAGATGCTTTCACATATAGTAATTTTATTTATTTATTTAATTTTAAATTTGCTGCAAACTCTTGAGCAGACTTACATATAGTAATTTAATATGCAATAATCCACAGAGGTAGTTTGATTATAACTATCTGTGTTTGAGGAAACAAGCTCAGAGATAGTATATAACTTGCTTTACACTGAATGGCAAGTAACTATTGGGGATCCAAATTCCTGAGCTTAATTTCAGAGACCACACACTCTCCTACATCTCACGGCACCTTAGGGGAATGCAGAATCCAGGAAACCAGGACATCATGTTGTGCCTGCCTTCAGGAAATGTACATTCAGCCTCTGTTTGGTTGAATCTGCCTAAATGAATCTCCAGAAATCGAGATTTGAGGTTTTAACATTACATAATTCTAGATCCTAGAGTGTCAAAGTCATCTATGACTTTAATAATCCTAGTAAGACGTCCAAGCACTGGGTGCAGTGGTTTGTCTGAACCAGGATTAATTTTTAGAAAATTCACATGTGCAGAGTGGACAAGTGCCTTAACAGAGTGAAGGCAGAGGTGGGGGAAGACAGCTGGAGAGGTGCAGACTGTCACCCTCACACCTAACACCGCTGTTGGCTTCCACCAACAGTCCCACCCAGGGTGGCCGGGTCTTCTCGTGTTTCAGAGAAGCCTAAAGTCCAGCTTTCCATGTGAAACATAACAATTTCAAAATATCCATAACTAATTCAAAAGTTTAAACTACACCCTGCAGGCCAAACAAACAGGTCTGAAAGACAAGTTCAGGCCCATGGAGCTCCAGCATGCACCCTCTAGTTGGGAACATACAAATCCCAGCTCGTTAAGCTACATAAAGTAACTGGGACATGGTTTAGTGAAAACGGTTTCCATCAGAACCTGTCTGTGCATCTGCTGGCATGAAGGTATATCCCTACCACTATTTCTGGTTTAATTTAGGAAAACATGCATTGCATCATCTTTTGATTTTATGCAAGTGTATCAGATGTGGCCTGAAGGCCAAATTTTTGTAAATTGGGATTGCGTCTTTTTATTGCCCACCTTCCCACCGTAAGGATGCCTAATTCTGGTTTTTGAGTGATCTTTAATGAGCACTGGCCAATTTTAAATGTATGATTCCCTGGCCTTTCAGTTTATTTTATTTTTTTGAGACAAGGTCTGGCTGGAGTGCAGTGGTGCTATCTTGGCTCACTGCAACCTCCACTTCCCAGGCTCAAGCCATCCTCCCGCCTCAGCCTCCCTAATAGCTGGGACTACAGGTGTGCACCACCACGCCCGGCTAATATTGTAAGTTTTTAGAGACGGAGTTTCGCTATGTTGCCCAGGCTGCTCTTGAACTCCTGGATCCAAATGATCCCCCTGCCTCAGCCTCCCAAAGTGCTGGGATTACAGGCGTTGAGCCACCACACCCGGCCCTAGTTTATTTTAAAGGAAACTAGAGTAAACTCTCTGGGGGAAGAACCTCCAGTTTAATAACACTCTGTATTGTATCTCCTTTATTGTAATTGTATTTGGAGATTTTCCACATGGAACTTCTCTGTACTGAAGCCTTAAACCTGCTGTGTTTCAGAGCAGAAGTTATCCATGTCTGTCTATCTCTCTCTGACACACATGCACAAAAACTAGATATGTGATTTACTATATATGACACGATAAACATTCTAAAACAGTAAGTTTAGAACAACAAATTGCGTTTTGTCATTGCTATTATTTAATGATTTTATCATGTTACTTTATGTAGAATGGCTATGAATAATTAATTAGGTTTTGTTGTTGTTTTTAATATCTCCACAGTCTAAATAATAAACCATTTTCCCAATATTGGCATTGCTTTAGAAGAGATTTTCTTATCTATTTTATGGCAGAGTTAAAAAGGTGCCTTTCCCTGTGTCCTAAGTTTTGCAACGTGTGTGCATTTATTACG